CTGTAATTAGGATGCTGCTGTCCTTGGGATCACTCCCTTCTTGGGGTCAGGGCTCCTGTCCCTGGCTCAGATGGACCACTGTCATTTCCTTGACCTAACGCTCTCTCAAAAGCCCTGAGCAAAGCTAGTGTCCGCCTGTCTGTTGGCAGCTTACAAACCGACAACCAGTTGTCAGCGCGTCGTCACATGGCCACCGTGTGCAAGGTGCTCGACCTCGGGCCCCTTGTCCTGATGCGTCCCTCCCATGGGCTCTGAGTCCAGCTTGGGCTGGAGGCTCCCTGACTTGAGCTTCCCAGGGGGCAAGGACAGTCCAAAGTCACACGGCGGAGGGAAGGCCGAGGTCAGAGTGGAACAGGCCTGGCCACCCAAGGATGCTGGTCACTGTGCGTCCTGTGAGTTGAGCCTGGGCCTGGAGGCTGGGCCATGTGGTCACACTGGGCCACTGAGTGAGTCTCTCCGGGCAGGGTCCAGAGACAATGGAGGCGGGATCAGCTCTGGGTGAACACTGGTCTGTGGCCCAACTTTGGAAAGGACTTCACCTCCGACACCTGAATCCCCAGGAGGCCTGTGTGGTGGTCCCAACACTCCCTGCTTAGCGGTCAGGGCAGAGTGAGGGCCTCAGGGAGCCGGTGTGGGGCTCAGGGAGTGAGGGCGGGTCAGGGACAGCCTGTGCCTCCCATTCGCGCCTGGGAAGTGGGGGGATCACAGCCACCTGTGAGCCGAGACTCTTGAGTTCACGGGAGTGACCAGAGCCGTGCCCGGTGCGGACTAGGCCCTCGGTAGCTGTGGGCGATTGTGACCGAATGAGACCACGAGTGGTCCAGATGAAAAGTGTACAGAGATGGGAGCTCTGTCCAGTCAGGAGACCCGCCTGGCTGAGCGCCGAGGTCCTTTCTGCTATAATTTTATGTGGTCTGTCCATCTCCTAATATACTTCCTTGCAAGCCCAGTGATCGCCTGCCCTTCATATTTGCAGCCCACAGCGCCTCGTGCCTCAGTGACCACGGAAGGTCCTGCACACAGAGCTCAGGAGAGCAGGTGCGGGTGCTGCTCGGTGCCGACGAGGCCTCAGAGGGTCTGCGGTGGGAGCCTTGCTGGGTGGGAGCTGCCGAGGACGTGACGGTGGGGGGGCTGGGGCACCACCGGGGGCTCTCGGTGCCCAGGCCCAGGGGTTGGGGATGGTGACTGTGGAACGGGAGCGGGGAGGGTGGAAGCACCGTGGAGAATTAGGCTCCGTGTGGAGGCAAAGGAAAGAAGGCGAAGCCGTGGCACCTCGGGTGCCGGTTGGTGTTTTACTGAGCGTGGGCATGTGAATGACTATATTCTGTTGCAACTATAAATTTCAAGGTCTCCCCCTTCCAATCTGCCATTCCTAGGAAACCAGGTTCCGAGTGGGCGCTCGCTCCTTACGTTACTGTGTTTGCTTTTGATCAATTAAAAAGAAGCCACAGAACACGCCATGGCTGATGAAGACGTGTGTGAAAATCAATTAGTCAATTCTAAGGAAAAATAAAAACTCACATGTTGGAACCTGAGGCAGATGGAAACGTAGGCTCAGCTTCACCGTTATCTGGGAACTCGTGGGACACGCATGTGACCGGCCGGCCCCAGACCTGGGGCCCCAGTGTCTCCGTCCGAGCCACCCTGCGTCCCCCCCATCCACGGTCTCACCGAACACTCCCGTTCCTCCCGCGCCCTTTCCTCTGCGTCACTAGGTCTCATTACGTGTTTCTAATGCGTTGTTGAGACTTGTCTCTCTGGTTTGTTCGGAAGCGCTGTTCACGTGGGTCTCAGCGGCCTCGAGCTCCCAGCATTGTGGGGAAATACGACTGTTTATGCCCCTTTGTCCGCATTCAACTTCTTTTGTGCGTGTAACTCACTCGCTTTGCAGAATGAGGGGTGTCTGTGCCTCAGAGACCCCCCCATGGGGAACATGGTCCCTCCGCTGGTGGCATGTGGCCCGAGCCTGACCTGGAGCAGAACAGCCGGTCACCTCCCCGGAGCCGGACTGTGGGAGGGAGCAGGGCGACCTCCAAGTGCTCGGATCCTGCCTCCCTGAGCCTCTGTGCCCGAGGAACGTCACCAGCTGGCTGCAGGATGCCTCCTTCACCCACCACGGCCCTCACCGAACAAACGCACAGCGGAGCCCGGCTCTCAAAGTTAATTCGTTCTGGAAAGTGGTTTGAAAACCAAATCATTCTTCCCCCATTAGAAATAATGTAAATTGAATTAATCTATTCCGGACCCCAAATTATTCCGTTTTAACGTTTCTTAGATCCGGTGCACATCTAATGTACTGTTTAATCTAGAAATAAACACTTTAAAACCGAAAGACATGGAATGTAAATAAAAACTGAACAAAAAGGAATAGAAACATAGTAAAAATTCAAAACTTTATCATCAGCAGCAAAAGCAAAAAAAAAAAACCACCGTGAAAATAGTCACAGCACAATTTCCTGAGATGATGACGACGTGAGGGTTTGGCAGTGAACTGACTCGCACTCAGCATCCTCTCCCTTGTCAGCGGCCTGCCTGAGAGACGTGGGTGATTCATAGGCATCGGCGTGAACGGGACATCCAGCCGAGAAGCGAGTTGTTTGGGACGGGAGACGTGCGAGAGCCGGGGTTTGGCTGTCACTGCATCTCCCCCGTAAGCGTGAGTTCCCACGACGCGCCAGGTTTACTGAACTGAACTGCCAAGCTTAAGAGAGCTCCTCAGCCGGAGTGTTTATTCAAACAGACACAGGTTTCACCCGACTCGGCAGTAATATCTGATCGTTCATACCCTTCTCAGCAAATTTTAGCAGATGGTTGGCTCAGTCAATTGGCTTTGCTTATGCTGAGCTTCCGATGTGACACACGACCCTCACGGGGACGTTTCACAGATTTTCCAGAAGGATTTCTGTAGACACAGCCTGTCTTTGGGTAGAGAGGGAAGGCGTTTGTGCCCAGAGAGTCACACCACCGATCCTGCCCGCTGGTGACGTTTCTGAGAAAGGGCCAGGCGAGCGTTACGCCAGTGATGCGTTTTCCAGGGGGCCTGCGGGGAGCGCCGTCCTCGCCACCGGTCATCACTGCCTCTGCAAACGCTCGGCTTGGCCCCTGCCCTCCTGCATTTCTTCACGGGACCTAAAGTAACTTCAGGGGAAATGCAACATCGTCGTCTGCGGCTCAGCCAGCTTCCCAGTCACAGGAGGAGCAGAGGCCTCTTCTCGGCGACCCGTGTGGCTCGGCGGCTCCGCGGTGGGAAGAGCGCCCTGGAGGAGCCGGGCGCCGGCGCTCACACCGCGTCTGTCTCCCCCTCGCCTCAGGAGAACATTTAAGCACCTGCTGTGCGATCTGAATGACCCACGGACGGGCTCTGGGATTAGCCCTGAAGGTCGGCCTGGGCGGACTCGGTTTAGCTTCCACTTGCCCGTCCGCCCCTCACGGGGGCTGCGGTCAGCCTGGGAGGCTGCCGTTGGGAAGTTGCAGAACCCGAAAGGTCACACGGATTCCGTGTTCTTCCTCGGCACCCACAGAAAAACAGGCTTTAGAAGTCTGACCGCAGCATCGGGTAACAGCTCAGGGCGAGCCCACGGCCGACTACGTAGGTTACCAGGGAACGCCTCGCGTGTCGCCACAGCGGCCCTCTCGCGCCACCTTGAGAACTGGCGGCCGTTCCGGCTGCTCCACACGTCCCCGGTCCAGGCCACGTGCCCTGTGCTCACCAGCTGCCCAAGGCTGGTTTCACTGGTCAAACATAAGCCGGGGCTTAGGAGTCTTTTCTCTTTTGGTTCAGCATCAACTTAAGTAAAATTCGGTGACAATTGAAAGAAATATAAAATGGTAGTTGGTCCAGCACCAACTGCAATAAAAATATTTGAAAAATGCTTGCCTGGGGCCTGGGCTGCCAGCGAAGACAGAAAACCTGGACGCGGACGGACGTCCTGTGAACTGCGCCCTCTCTGCCCCTCGTGCTCTGGCCCTGTCCAGGTCCTCGCTGACCACAGGAGTCTACTCGCTGAGCTTACCTGTGGCCTGGACACCGAGGGGCCGCCCTCTGCGGAGGCCACTGGGCACGTCTGGACCTCAGGCCGGGGTCTCAGGCCCTGGAGGCTAGTTGGAGACAGAGGCAGGTCCTACAGGCACCAAACTGCACAGCAGCCTGACCACCGAGGCTGCACCCAAACTAGCCGACTGTCCGGCACCCGGTTGGTAGCTGTAGGTGCCGTTGCCAGTTGGGTGAACGTAGAATTAATTGGCAAAAGCAGAAGAAAAAACTCTTCTCTACTGACCTGAACTGTATTTTTAACAAACTTCATGTGTCTCAGATTTTGAGTTTAGTTTCCTTTTTGTGTGTTTTCAGTAGTTAACAATCACGTCCTCAGCTCATCTGTAGAGGAACCTGCAGTGTGTGGGGGAGTGTGAGTGTGTGTGAGAATGTGTGAGTGAGCATGTGTGTGCATGTGTGTGTGTGTGAGTGAGCGTGCGTATGTGTGCGCATGTGCGAGTGTGAGTGTGAGAGTGTGCGCCCGTGTGTGCATGTTGAGTGTGTGAGTGTGAGTGTGTGTGAGTGTGTGTGAGTGTGCACCTGTGTGTGCATGTTGTGAGTGTGTGCATGTTTGTGAGTGTGTGTGAGTGTGCACCTGTGTGTGCATGTTGTGAGTGTGTGTGAGTGTGCACCTGTGTGTGCATGTTGTGAGTGTGTGTGAGTGTGTGCATAACGCAGGNAAGTGTGTGAGTGTGTGAGTGTGTGCATAACGCAGGGTCTTTTCTACAGCAGGCTGTGTTCGCCCAGGCGATAGCGTATAGACTGTGCATTAAACACGTTACACTGTGTGTATCGTAGAGACGGGGGGGGGAGGCTGGTGCGAGGAGCCTGCTCCGGAAGTTGGTTTCTGTGCATTTCTGTTTTCTGACTCGGGAGTTTTCACAGGTGCCCTGGGCGTCTGCTGTGGGTGGTCGGGACAGTGTGACTGCTCCGGGCCACGTGCTCACCTGTCTCTTCCTCGCTCTAGTGTCCTCCTGCGACCAGGAGCAGCAGTCGGCCCTGGAGGAGGCCCGGCAGCCCAGGAACGACAACGTCGTGATCCCTGAGTGCGCGCACGGCGGCCTGTACAAGCCGGTGCAGTGCCACCCGTCCACGGGCTACTGCTGGTGTGTGCTGGTGGACACGGGACGGCCCATCCCCGGCACCTCCACCAGGTAAAGGCCCCCTCACGGGGCGGGGGCGGGGTGGGAGCAGGAGCGCGGAGCCCCACAGTTCCCACCGCACCCCGACGTTGCCCCGCTTCTCTGTGCTCCGTGTCTGTGGAAACCAGCGGCTTGGGCCACGGGAGCTGAGAGGAGACGATCCCTCGGAGGGCCACCGGGACTGACGGTGTGAACAACGGCTCTTTCCAGCACTGGAGAGCAGGTCTGCTTCGTGAAGGGTGGAAATTTGGAGAGCGGCTCTGCTGTCCGGGGTCGCGGTGGCCTAGAGAGAGTGTCGGGCGTTGACTGGGTCTCCCTGTGGTCCCCAGTGTCAGCCCAGGAGCCAGCGTTTCACACGCCGAGGGCACCGACCGCCCCTGACGGCTCTGTGACGTGACAATATGTGCCCCCTGCATTTGCCGCTCGGGGGAAAGCGCTCGGGGCAGGGGCAGTGACAGCTCCTCCAGGGACCCGGACACAAGGCACCTGCTCAGGTGTGAGTGTCAACAGAGCGTTTCCCGCCCGCCCCGATGGACACGGGCCTCGTTCGTGGAAACACTGTCAATGTGGGTTAAAGTGTCTTTGCAGCTTTTTGCTATATGACTTCACCTCTGGCTTTTCATTAATTTGCATACAAAAAGTTTACAAATATATCAAAATACCTCAGCTGTTGCCAACTTCAGCCATGAGTCTCACCTCTTGTGCCCGGGCACGAGGGAGCATGTTAACCCGTCTGAGTGATGTCCCCCAACTGTCCCAGGGTCACCACGGGGCACTTAGAGGAAGACACATAGTGGGGCAGCGCCTGGAGCCGGAGTGCGGGGACCAGCTGGCAGACGCTTCCTCGCGACCGTCGGCCACACCTGGCTGCCCGCCTGGCTCTCAGTAAACCATCTCCCTGGGCGCTTGGCTTTGGAAATTGGAGGAACAGCGTCCCATTCAAGCTGGGCCTTGGTGGCCAGCGCGGCACCCACCCCGGCCACAGGGACAGACTGAGAACCCTCTGCATGGGCTCATGGTAAGCCCAGCCTGGCAGCACCCAGCGAGGAGCTCCGGCCCGGGCAGGCCCCCAGGGCGCTCACGGGAGCCTGCACCCGCCTGCTCCGCGGCCAGGCAGCACGGGATCCTTCCAGGGGTTTGGTGTGGGATCTTTTGGTTCCTGTGCACATGTGAACCAGAGGACTGTCCTCTAAGAAGCCCCGGGAAGCAGGGTTTCTGCATATTTAGTAACTGGCTTGCGCACTGTGTGTTTAAGTCGGGGCGTTTGTTCCCTGGCCCGGGGCTGCGCCTCTCGGAGGGGGAGGTGTCGCTGGCAGATGTCTGCCTAGCACCAGCCAACAAAAACCCTCCAGCTGTCAAAGCCAGAGCTCCTCACACGGGCTCCAGAGTGATGAGATCAGCGTTTTCGATGCCGTCCCTCCAAGACCCGTTTCACATTATGATGGGACCAGAAGCGTAATTACCCCCTTTGCTCTCCCTCCTGACTCTCTGCCCAGACGGATCGCGTCTCGCCAGGGAGGGAGGCATCAGGTCCTCATTGCCCTGGCTCTGCCTCCGGGATGGGCCGTCTCTCCCCTCCGAGTTTTCGGAGACCCCGCTGCGTCAGGAGACCCCGCAGACTCCCGCTGCATTTCCATTTCACTGGTTCACGTGCTCGTTCATGGTCACGATGCTGATTGTTGGCGACACCTCGACACCTTCCAGGGACTGCGGGAGGAGCCCCGAGGGGGCAATGCTCCCTTCTCTCTGGGGGACCTCCTGCTCAGGAGGGTCAGGCAGCAAGTGGGGTACCCCTGGGGCTGCTGTCCACAGCCATGGAGCCCACACACTCAACCAGCCCGAAGCTGACAGCTGACAGCTCTGCTGGGGGACATTGTTTCAGCATCAGCCTCAAGGATGCAATGTTACCAAGCCCCAAAGATACAATGTTACCAAGCCCCAAGGATGCAATGTTACCAAGCCCCAAAGATACAATGTTACCAAGCCCCAAGGATGCAATGTTACCAAGCCCCAAAGATACAATGTTACCAAGCCCCAAGGATGCAATGTTACCAAGCCCCAAAGATACAATGTTACCAAGCCCCAAGGATACAATGTTACCAAGCTCACCTGCTCCCTCTATGGCTTCTGCGTCACCTGCGGCCCTGACGACACGTGCTGTGCCTCTAACCACAAGGAAAACCTTCCCTCCAAATCCTCGGCCCTCCAGACCCCCCTCGCTCTAACCGGCCCGAGTGCCGCCCCTTGACCAGGAGCAAGTGAGTGGGTGTCTGCAGGACAGAGCAAAGGCTGCTCCGCATGGAGCCAAAACCTAGTTCACTTTTAAAAAAAAAAAATGTTTTTATTGATTTTAGAGAAAGAGGAAGGGAGAGGGGGAGAGAGCTAGAAACATCGATACAAGAGAAACATCGGCTGCCTCCTGCACGTCCCCCGACTGGGGATCAAGCCCCCAACCCGGGCCTGTGCCCTGACCGGGAATCGAACTGTGACCTCCTGGTTCATAGTCGATGCTCAACCACTGAGCGCACCGGCCGGGCTCCTCTGCCTCTTTGTGTCAGATGGACACCTCGGCCGTGGGTACAGGTGGCTGCGGGCGGAGCCCAGGCACCGCGGGCACCCCGTGAGGTGCAGTGCGCGCTGTGGGGCGGGCAGGTGAACCTGGCGGGGACAGTGGTGGCTGCTCTGGACAGGCTATCGGATGAAGCGTGGGTTGGGCCGGCTGCCAGCGACTGCATTAGCACCCAGAGCGGAGAGATTTCCCTTCCTCTCCCTGATGGCTGATGAAGGGCTTGTCCATCTGCCGTCAGGCTCAGGCTGTTCCTGCCCGAATCGGGCCGCCCCCCACCCCGAGTGCCCACTCTCCTCCCACAGGTGTCCTCGGCCAGGGGATCGTGAAGCTGCCCCCTCCCGGCAGAAGGCCGGCTATCTGATGGGCCGCCCAATGTCAGATGCTCATTTCTTTCTTATACAAATGAGTAAAAATAAAGGCTGTGGAAAGACTGGTGGCGGATTCAACGCTGGATCCGAGCTCTTACTCGAGACTCAGGGTCACTCACTCTCTCCTGAGACGGCCGAGTCTGCACGTCACCAAGTTCTTCCAAAGGCACACACTGCTGTCCCTCAAATGTGCATTTTTATATCAGCATCATGCTGGATTTGGAACAAAACCGGGATGACCACCCCGTGTGGCTCACTTCCTGGCTGCTTCAGGGTGGCGAGATCCAGGACTGGGGACTTAGTGGCCACGCCCTCTGTCCCCCTTTATGCTGGGCGCTGTCACAGGCCCTACCCGGCCTCTTCTCTCCGAGACCCTATCAAATCCCATGACAGACGGGGCTCAGGGGACGGGTTTCCGAGCCTGGATGGAGAGACGGAGCCGGGCGCAGCCTGCTGCTTCCTGCCGACTGTGGACAGCAGCTTGGCGTATACTCAGTGTCACAAAGATCCCCACTGTGTCCTGTGCGACCCGCTGCCACCACCAGGGCCCCGGGCCAGGGACGCGTCCTGCTCCATGCCCAGCGAGAAACGGAAGAACAAGCTCCCTTTCAGAGTCTCGACCCCGCTGACCTCTCTGATCTCTGCCCTCGCAGGTATGAGCAGCCGAAATGTGACAACACCGCCAGGGCGCACCCGACCAAGGCCCGGGACCTCTACAAGGGCCGCCAGCTCCAGGGTAAGTCGGGCGGAGGGACTGGGGGGACGATTGGCCACTCAGAGCTTCCTGGAGATTTGGGACAAGAAAGGATTTCGGCAGCTCTGTTCCCAGCGGGCCAGGGCAGCGTCCTCGGAGCGGTCGGCCAGCGCCGGCCGCCGGCCCGTCCCCGAGAGGCCTGCTGTCGGGCCGTGGCACAGAGATGTTGGTGCCGGTGGTGGCGGCAACGTTTCAGGAGCCGCACGTCTGAGCCCCGATATTTCAGAGCAGGGAGCGACGTCCTTAACTCAGAATGTGCTCGCACGAGGCCCGCGCCCCGGCGTCTGATGTTTCTGTTTACGGAAAGAAAGCAGGACTTCGGATGTCGGCCTCCAACGGTCCTTTGGAATTGACCCAGCTGCTCGGGAAGCCGAGGGTTAGGTTCCGTAAAGCCCGAGTTCAGCCTTCGCGTCGGGCGCGTTTAATTGCAACCGCGAGTTTAACCTCAGAGCTGTTACAGATCCACCCACAAAGGGCTGTTTCGTGGGTGTTCTTTCATCAGGAAACCCACGCGTGTTTGTGACCCATCAACACGGTTACTTTAACACGTGAGCCCCCCAGGAGCAGGTGTGAGGTTAAAAGGGGCCACGTAAGGCAAGGACAGTGCCTGGCGGACGGGCAGGCAGGTGTCAGCAGCGTGGCCGTGGGTGGGGTCCAGGCGCGTGGGGACGGGTCGGGCATCACGCGTGACTCTGACGGCGTCGGTGAGCGGCTTCGAGCGTGTTGCTGTTCTGTTTCATTCCGACCCTGTTTCCTTTGAGCATCCCCGATTGTGTACGTTCCGCCAAAGCCTCCGTGACACGAGTGCCACTCTGTCGTGTCCTCAGTGTGGAGCCCACGTGCGATCTGGGTCTTAGGCGAAGTCTGGACAAATTCCTGTTTAGAAAAATGTGTTATTTGCACTGCTACTGATAAAGGTTTTAGATGCTGACACAGATGTTTTTCTGCTTGTCGACAAGGATGAGAAGACAGGAGCCTCGGGGACAGGACACGGCCCCGCTCACACACGTCCAGCCGCCCAAGGGCTTCGCAAGGAAAGTGCCTCACGCGCAGGAACGTGGCCCGGGGGCAGCCAGCGGGGAAACACGGCCCGTCCCCTGGCCCTGCTCATGCTGAGCCTCCCTGCCTCGGGTCCAGGTCTTTCCCGCTTTGCGTCTGTAGTGTCTCCCGTTGGGGGCAGATTCGAGGACTCTATCGGGGACACTCTGTTTCTCCTTGTGCGTGGTCAGCGGGCTGGTCTCTCGTGACTCAGGCTTCTTTCTGCGGCATCTTGGTTGGGGGGTCCCACAGGGGGAGGGAGGGAGGAGACGGCAGGAAGGCGCCAATACAAACACCCTGCGGAGTCCTAGCTGAGCCCCTTCTGTGCATGTGACAGCTCACCCTTGGGAGCTCGATTCACAGCTGAATCGCCCGCTCCCTGTGCCTGCGACCCTGCCCGGGAAACCTGTGGCCTCAGTGTCAGGCTTTAACAGCGGTGCGCAAAGGTTTTCCGAACAGGAAACGGTGAATCCAGCCCGTCCCGGTTAGAAAGCCCTCAGTGGACGTTTGCTGGTCTCAGTCACGTCGATTAATAGTCTAAGGATCTGGGCTCTGTCTCTCCTCGGCCAAGAGTCCAATTTTTTTGATGATACAAAACTGCATGGTTTCTAAGTCGCACTGCATGTGGTTTTTGCAGACACATGAACACGCTCATTGATGCCCTGCTGAGCTTTGTAGTCGGTTAGGTCGCAGTGACAGAGGTCACGTTGACAGAGGTCATGGTGGCAGAGGTCACGGTGGCAGAGGGCACGGTGACAGAGGTCACGGTGACAGACATCATGGTGACAGAGGTAACGGTGGCAGAGGTCATGGTGGTAGAGGGCACAGTGACAAAGGTCACGGTGACAGAGGCCTCGGTGACAGAGGTCACGGTGACAGAGGCCTCGGTGGCAGGCAGCTCCCCCGTTTCTGGGCCGGGGTGCGGGCAGGGAGCTCTTCACGGTGGAGTCCGGACACTGAACACTAGCCTGGGTTCCTGATGTAAAGGCCCCGGGTCAGTTGTCTGTGGGGATGGCCGGTGGTCGACGTCGAGAACTACGGTCCCGTCCTTGTTGGCTTGTCCGGTGTCAGATGCGCCCTTTAGAGGGAGGACGTCTGAGCACTGGGGTGGCACAGTGATCGGGGGAAGCGCAGTGGAGGGGTCCTTGTCCCAGTTACGGAAGCCACGCCCCGCTCCCCTGAACCGGAGGAGGCCGCGGGCCTGTCACCCACACGCCGCCTCCCGGCCTCAGACACTAACCAGAGGCCCCGGCGAACAGCCATCGGGTCGGCTTGTCCCCCGGGTGGGCGTTTGGAGGACTCTCTTCTCCACCACTTAATCATTTCGATTTTTTGGAGATAATTACCCTTATTAGGGAAAAACAACTAGGTCTTAAAATAACTCCGGGACTGAGCTGTTGCTGGTACAGGAGGTTATTCCCAAGTCACACGGCGGCAGGTTGTGCCGGCAGCTACCTCCAGCCCGGGAGGCTGAGCATTGCCTTACAGGGGCCCGTTCGTCTTCAGTAGCTTTTCTCAGCTTCAGCCAACGAGGGCCCCTCAGTTTCCATGTCGAGCTGGTGACCCTCTCACGCCCAGGCCCCCGGTTCGGGGGTTAGTGGACCGCGGATATTGACTGACACCCTTTTCAGGGCAGTTAGCAGACTCCCAGCTCACGCCACTGGAGAGGAAATGGCCATTTAATCTTCAGAGGCCAAGATTTCGCCACGTGGAGGGGGCCACCCTCACCACCACCTCTGCACCTGGGCCCCGCACCTGTGGAGCGGCGTTGGTCCTGGTCAAGCAGCCCCTCTCCGCAGCATCCCCGCAGCTCCGTGAGCCCCATGGCCATGACCAGCCAGCAGGGCCCTGTCCCCTGGGTGCCCCTTGGGCTCCCCTGAAGCCACACACAGAGCCTTGTAGAGTCCGCAGCAGTGAAGTCTCTTTTCTCGGGGCTCAGTGACGGCAGGTAGAATGCAGGTCTGATTCAATCAGAAACCCTGAGAGCACCACCCCCCCCCTGAATTTTTCAAGTCCTATTTCAGCACTATTGCAAAATTTTTCAGAATTAGGACTTTCTGACGCAGCGTAAAATGACCCTCAGCCTGTCTGAAGCACAGCTCGGGCTACTTTCCAGCAGGCATTTAGAGCTGAGCCCAGCACCTGTGCTGAGTATCGCCTGGCACTAAAGACTCCAGTGTTTACCTTTCCTCCAGCCGGACTCGGCCTTCGAGGCTCTTTCACAGACAATAGGAAATGTCAGTATTTCACCCACTGAAAACGTCAGCTTCTGTGGTTTCTGTGTCTGGTCCAATACCGATTTCGTAGACACAGGCCTGCTGGGTTCTAGCTGAGCAGGGAGGAGAGTCTTACATTCAGACAGGTAACCCTCTGGCCTGGGGGCGTGGACAGTGGGCACCGTGCTGTGCCCGGGGCTCCCGGCTGCACCGGGAGAGGCTTCGGGCTGCCTGCCTCCCTGGTGCCATCCAGGACCACGGTGCACACAGGTGAGGGCTGGTGCGCCGGGTGCGAGCGCGGACGTTAAACACCCTGTGTGGGGTTAAGAGCCGTCTGATGACATCAGTGTAACAGGAACGTTGCTCGTGTGAAAGTCCGGCTGGGTCCCTGTGTGGAGGGGACAGGGGACGGTTCCCAGGAGTAGCCCTTGGAGAGATCTGAGCTACGCTGTTCCGTGTTCTGACCACCGAGTTGATGGTTAACATGAAATTAAATTTGTAGGTGAGATGACTAACCCTTTAGAGGAAAATTGCCTTTTGTAGAATGAGGGATAAACTGACCCTCAACCCAGTGTCACCGAGGAAGGATGCTCCGGGTGACAAACCCGCACGGACATTTCTACCTGAAGACTTCGGGACCGAGCGCCAGGGCCACCCTGGGAGGCTGGTCCCAGCTCACACGTGTGCTACGGGAGCTCCTCACGGGAGCCCCAAAAGGCCCAAACAGGCACCGAGGAGCAGGTGGGGGGGCCCCCTGCGTGGGGAGACGGGGCTGTGACGAGCCGGCCGCCTGAGCGGTGTGCACGGCCGTGGGGCGACCGCGCAGGGGCCCTGTCACCACGGCGCTGAGGGAGCCAAGGCCGTGCAGAAGTTCTTGGAAGCAGAGCAGTAAAACCCAGTCCCCCTCCGGGGAGGAAGGCGAGCCCTGCTGTGGCTGCCTCCCAGATAAAAACGTGGATTTAGAAAAGGTTCCTGCCTCAGATTAACGCAACCTGAAAACCACGAATAAACACGGAAGCCGAGCGAGGGGGTTTCATTCCTAGTGAAACGGGGTTTCTTTCCCCGTGTCGGTAACGCGCGGTGAGGACTGTTTGAAAGCGTCTGGGGCGGCCCGTGGAACATCCGAGGAGACCACGAGCACGCTTCAGTGTCAGTAACCGAGTGTGATGCAGGAGCAGCCTCGGTCTGAGGCTGTGGGGCCAGTGGGGTGTCCGACGTAACCACCCTCCCCCTGCTCTGTGCTCCCCAGGCCCCTCCCCTGGGCTCGGGGGCAGGTCCCGAGCTGCAGAGAGAGACCAGGTGGTCTTGGCCACGGCCCCGGGCGTCGATTCTGCCACTGGGCCTGGCGGTTCCCACGGAGACGGGCATTTATTCTGAGCATTGGCTTCTGTAGACCGTGGTTGTTGCAGAGCTTGGGTCCCCGACCTTGGGCGACTGTGGGTGAAGGTCCTCGAGGGCCCACAGATCCCGTGCAGAGATCTCCACCCTCTGCTGTGGCTGTGGGAGGGGAAGGGGGGCCCACAATTTCTGCTCACCGTTTTTAGGGGCGCACGCTCTCACAGCGCTTGCAGCCCCAGCCTCGAGAGGACTCTCCTCAGCTAGACGCACGTCCCTGGTGCTGGGCCCGGTGCTCCACGAATGAGTGTCTGAGCTCAGCCGTGTGTGCTGAGTGGCCTCTTGGCCTCCCACGGACCCTGGGTCGCCCTCGATGTCCCCACTGTTTCTCCT